ATATATATATATATATATAATACATATATATATATATATATATATATATATATATATATATATATATATATATATATATAATACATATACACACATTATATATATATATATATATATATATATATATATATATATATATATATATATATATATATCAGAATTCGTATATATCCAATTAAATTGCTAAATGAAAACACATTTTCAAACAAAAACCTTCATTCTTATTAATGTTACCTCAATAAAATAACCTATTTTTACTATCTTATTCATCGGTCATTTATCAAAGACTGCCACAGTATATCAAAATACTCTGATTACTTTAGTGTTGCTATGTGAGCAATGTAACACTAGCATGATATTCCTACATAACGATGAATTTCTCGTTTTAGAACTTTTTTTCTTTTTTCTTTTTTTTTACAGCTTTAAGGAGGTTGCACCTTACCTATCAGTTTCATGCATTAATGATCTTAGCCTTCTGATAAGATACTTATAACTAAAACTGCACTGAACTCTGGACTTCCTAACTTGTGTTTTTTAAACCACAGGACCTGCTGAATGCGGATCCTATCAGATTTTGTACACAGTATAACCGTTAAAAACCGTTGAAATAAGTTATTACGTCGACCATCTTACATTCACTTTTTATGCAATTGTAAGATGTATTCATTGTAAGAGTTTCACGCGGTTAAAGAGAAAAATTCAACGATGCTAAATGATTGCGAAGGTGAAAGGGAAATTGCATAAGCAAATTCTACTCCGTGATCAAAATTGCTACATTGGAAAAAAAATGTACATAATAACTTTATTCCTTTACTCTTGTGAACAAAATAAGTTCAATATCTTTCTTCGTAAACGTAACGGGACTCCTCGTCTAATATACTTGAGGAGACCGTACTATTGACTATGCATACTATAATCCGTGTTATAAGACTATAGTATTGAAGTTTAGCGTAACTTTGGATATTACCAAAACAAGTTTTTCGATCAGGATCTAACCTTATAGATACCTGAGGCTTTCATTTAAATCTAAAATACCCTTCGAAAGAAGTTTCTTGTTCCAGGTGCGTGTAAGTGCAATATCCAAGTAAGAAATTGCAATGTTGGTCCAGTATGTTGCACCTCGTTGTTATTTTGACACCTTTCCCCTCTCTTTTATTTACCTTTCTGTTTGTGTCTATCTGTCTGTCTTTTAGTCTATCTGTTTGTATCTGTCTGTCTGCCTATGTGTCTATCTTTTTCTCTATCTGTTTATATCTGCATCTCTTCATCTATCCATCCACCCACCCACCAATCTATCCTCTCATTAATCTACCCAAACCCGCTCACCCATTCACCCATACCCACCCATCCACCGATACCCACCCATACCCACGATCCACCCACCCATACCCACGATCCACCCACCCATACCCACGATCCACCCACCCATACCCACGATCCACCCACCCATACCCACGATCCACCCACCCATACCCACGATCCACCCACCCATACCCACGATCCACCCACCCATACCCACATACGTAAACCCAGCAAGGACCACGCACCACGACAGTACTGACCGTAGTTAGAGCACCATCGCGGGAGCCGAGTAGAGATCAAACGCCTTCGGAGCAAAGACAAGACGATACAGAAGTCTCAGTGTGAAAGCAGCAGGACTGGAGAGATCAAAGAAGCAGGGCAGCGCGTCACTAATTAAGGGCCGTCTTGTTGAGGTCGCCCTCTTGAGGAGTGTCGCGCCTTCAAGGGAGAGGGAGAGGCGGGCGAAGCGAGAGCATGTCCAAAGAGCGGTGGAATTAACAGAAGAAGCGAGGAGATTCAGAGGTTGGAATACAGTTGGAAGAATTGCAATATGCAAATGATGGATTAATAAGATAAAGGGACTCGCCATGGACCAAGTTAAGAGTCGTATTATGCTATGGGAAGAATCTCTTTTACAATAGTAAATATTATAATTGTGATAAGGAAAGGATGGGATACAAGAAGAATAGTAATATATTTAAGTTAAGGGACCAAGCTAAGAGTCACGTTATACTGTTGCAATTGATACGATGAAAATACAGTCATGAAACCGTATAGATGAAATAATATTATTTTTTCTTGTGATCATATTCTCTTTCCTGAGAATATACCCGCGATAAGTAACGGATGAAATACAGGAAGTATAATTCATAAATGATAGATTAGCATTAAAGAGTCACGTTATGTTGTGACAATGTCAATGCTGAGAACGCAGGCATGCAGACGAAAATAGATTAAATCATATTCACTTTTATATGAGCTTATTATCTTTTAATTTCGTAAATATAATAACAGCGATCGATATCGATATTACAAAAAAATATATATTCTCGTTTATATAAATTCTGTATCAAACTATGCGATTTTCTCGAAGCCTTGCATTCCCCTTATAAAAAAAGAATAAACAAATATGAACACGAAGACCTTCATGGTACTTTCAATATCAAACTAACAATTAAAAGTACCACAATCGCAAAAT